TCGTATCCTTCAATGTTCCTCGATCATTCTCCATCACCAATTTCTCTCGATGCGTACGATCTTTTTCTTCAAAACCCTTTTTTTCCCCTTTAGTTTGATGCTCGAAGATCGATTTTCAGCTTTGTAATTTGTAAAAGCATCAGTCTTTGTGTTGATTTCAATTTTTTTAAGTCTTAGAAAGGGAACATTTTTTGGTATGATATTGTCAATTTGATGTTTTTTGTTGTGTTGGGAATTTCACAGTAACACTTGTGTTTTATTGTTGTGTATAGATTAGTACTCTGATTCTAGCAGAACATGAGAGTGGTTCTATCAAAGCTCAGACAGTGAGTACAGTAGTTGCAGCTAATTCTTTAAGCGAAAGCTCTTCGATTTCTTTGTTATTGGCTGGTTCTGGTTCTTCTTTACAAGAAGCTGCTACTCAAGCTGCTTCTTGTCATCCTTCTGTTTCCGAGGTAATCTACATTGTTCGTCGCTTCTTCGTTTGTTTGTGGACTCAAATGTTGGTGCTTTTTGTAGGTACTTGTTGCTGATTCTGATAAGTTTGAGTACCCTCTAGCTGAACCTTGGGCTAAATTGGTTGATTTTGTTCGGCAACAAAGAGATTACTCGCACATTCTTGCTTCCTCGAGTTCGTTTGGAAAGAATGTATTACCTCGTGTTGCTGCTCTTTTAGATGTTTCTCCTATTACTGATGTTGTCAAGATCTTAGGATCCGATCAGTTTATCAGGTACTTTCCGTGGACTTAGAGAAAATAACATGTAAGCTTTTTGGGTAATGTGAACTGAAACGGAGCTTAAATTTTTCTCAGGCCTATATATGCGGGAAACGCTTTGTGTACAGTTCGTTATACTGGTCCTGGTCCTTGTATGTTGACTATTAGAATGACATCCTTTCCTGTCACCCCGATAACAGCAGACTCCGAGTCAAAGAAAGCTACTATCTCTCAGATTGATCTGTCAGATTTCAAAGAAGGTTCCTTTAATGTTCTCGTGTGCATTCGTGTTTTAAGCATTGTTTTTTTTTCTTAAGTGAGTTTGCTATTCTCCATTGCAGACTCTGACAGAAAATCTAGATACGTGGGACGTTCAACTCAGGATACAGAGCGGCCTGATCTTGGAAGTGCGCGTGTTGTGATAACTGGTGGAAGGGCCTTGAAGAGTGTTGAGAATTTTAAAATGATCGAAAAGCTTGCAGAAAAACTTGGTGGAGCAGGTTAGTATCTATGCTTGTATTAATCACTACTGAGTGTGGGGAATTCTATCACCAATTCTATGCGCTTCAAAATGTACATAAATAATGGTTTTATTTGTACAGTTGGTGCTACTCGTGCTGCTGTTGATGCTGGATATGTTCCTAATGACCTTCAGGTAATATTTCTTTTGGCTTTTCTCTTGACTATTTCGATTCAACGGCTTTTAAACTCCGATAAGAGTTTGTATGTGTGTGTCAGGTGGGACAAACTGGGAAAATAGTAGCTCCAGAGTTATACATGGCATTTGGTGTTTCAGGAGCCATTCAACACTTAGCTGGAATTAAAGATTCTAAGGTGATTGTCGCGGTTAATAAAGATGCGGATGCACCTATTTTCCAGGTAACGAGCACACCTGGAACCCTTCTTCTCCGTCAATTTAAGTTAGGACCAAACTATGCTAAGATGATTGGCTTCGAAAATGTAGGTAGCAGATTATGGACTTGTTGGAGATCTTTTCGAGGTGATACCCGAGTTGATGGAGAAGCTTCCGGAAAAGAAATGAAAACTCGAGAAACCGAATCTTGTCTATGTTTATCGTCTCCTAAGCTCTCTGTAATTTTCAGGTGCAGACTATATCTAGTAAGTAGTATGTATAGCAGAACTGTAATAAAAATCGGTCTGAAGTATCTTTGTCATAAGCTTTGTCTCAATGTTGCTTCTAAAAGAACCATTTGCAAATTGTTTTAACATTCAATAAGAATTCAATTTTCTGTACATTTACTTGTCAATAATAGTAACAAATTTTACATCAAAGTTACATAATAAAAGAATCAGAAGAATAAAAAATAATCATCATCACAGTTAATTAATACTTAAAAATAAATAAAAGAATGATCAAGCAATAAAGTTAGATAACATTGATAAAGGAACTACACAAAGTCCTCTCTTCTTCAATTCTGCAGAAAAGAATTCTTCATTTATAACTTCAGTTATCTTTGATCCTGTATCTGTTATGCATCCTCTCTCCTACAATTTCCCCAAATATGAAAAACAATTGTTAGTCAAAAATGAATTTTAATTTTGGTGGATAATATTATTTTACATGTAACAAATGTTTCTTATGATTACCTCGGATGTAATATTGTCCATGAATTTTCCATGTCTTGTATTCTCTTTTGCACCAAGCAACTCACTAAGACCCTAAACAAACCAAAAACAAAAATTGTAAGAAAACTACATTATAACAAAACAACAAAATCAATATCACAAATTATATGTATCTAACCTTGGTTTTATTAGAAGGAGAAGAAGCTGTG